CTTGGCATAGCTACGATGATTTCCAACCTTATATAAAAGATGGAACTTGAAGAATGGTATTGTTTCTTTAGTGTTAAAGTTCTTAATGTCTGTTTTTTGTGCCTTCTTTAGTGCTTCCGCCAACGTTTCGTTAAGCTGCTCAATATTAGTTTTATCTTGCACGTTTTTTTGTAGGTTATTCTATTTTTTTTGTATTTCTGGGGGAATCCCCGTAAAATGACGGTGAATTCTATTCATAAATTCACACTACTGTTGTACGTTAACAGTATGTGCAGTACAACCTCGTTAATCCAGACCTCGTTCATCCGGATTATCTAGATCAATTCGGAATGAAAAAAATAATTTTTTTTTTGATAATTGTATGTATGTAATGCGATTTCCCGGTCACTAATTTGTTGCCTTGAGTGATCAGACGGTCTAGGGACACGCTGGAAAGAGAAAGTCGAGGAACAATGACCGCAGCACCCCCATCTCCCTTCACCGACGACTCGAGTCCCGGACACAAAGACAGTCAGTCTGTCTGTCACTTGCTAACCACTGGAAGACATCGTTCTGCTATCGTACTGTGCGGTGTATATTTTGTAACACTGATCGGATATTGGTGAGTTAGCGTGTGCGTGTGTGCGTTGAAATGGCATCGAAACGGAAACGAAATATGCTTACAATGGATAAAAAGTTTGATGCGTTGAACCGAATCGACAGGGAATAAACTTGCTGCAGAGCTCGGTGTGGGGACATCAACAGTGTCGGACTGGAAAAAAATATTGAACACTTTTGTTTCAAGACGATATCTAAAGACAAGTTATAGGGTAGAATAACTATGAAAAAGGCTAAAAATGAATTGATGGACGAGGCATTATTTATGTGGTATAGTGCTCAGCCAGAACGTGGTGTCCCTATTTCTGAGCCGATTTTGTCTGAGGAAGCGGCAAACTTAAACAAAAAATTACCAAAACCAGATCCAGATTTTACATCTATCCAGGGATGGCTAGAGCGGTTCAAAAGTCGGTATGACACCCGACAATTATCCGTCACTGGCGAAAGCCTTTCTAGTGATTGAGCAGGCAGTCAACGATGTAAGGACAAATTTCAACAAATTATTTCTTTTAACACTCTGTCACCTTACCAAATTTCCATTGCGAACGAAACAGGACTGTTTTACCGAGCAATATTTTGGCTTCTAAAGTCGAGGAATCAGCCAAGGGTCAAAATAAAAAGCAAGGGCGAGGCGGAGGGAGACAGCGCACGGCCAGAGATGACACACGCGGACGCGACGTCACAGCTGAACATCATGGAGTATTTGGAGCAACAGCAAAACACCACGCCAGCTGAACTAATGATGGTGAAACGTTTACATGATCGTGCCGCATTGAAATGTCACACAAAATTAAAACAAAGGAAGATCAATGACTTTTTTGTAAATAAAAACTAATACTCGCGTAAATTATATAGGGTGTAAATATAGTAAGGTATCATTTTACATGTAGTTTTATTAACCTTATTATTAGACTTCGGCAAATATGCATATTGCATATTGTGCATATTTTATGCAAATATTTCATATTTTGGCATATTTGTATAAAAGTTTGCATAAAGTGCATAAAAGTTCAGATTTTTATACTGTATTTGAAAATTTTTAAACATACCAATTTATTTCAATTCTTGTATAAAATTTTGTAGTCATTTTAATCAAGAAATGATCCAAGTACGTAATCTCTACAGGTACAAAACATTTACAATTTCAAAGAAGATCAATTTAAGTAGCCCTCAACATTCTTAGAAAGTCTCGGTCACTGAGGCATTCAGTTATTGGATAATCGCTAAGGGTTCGCTCATTTGCATTTTATGATCTAATCCCCAAATCTATCTACAATTTATTGTATCTTAACAGCAGGTAAACGGCTAATAGTTTTGTTCCTAATTTAGGGATTTTCCAAAATTTCCCAGTTTATTGAATTAGGTACCTAAACATTTCTAATTTGATGCTCAGATTTGTAAATCATTTTTGTTTTGATATTCAAAGCGTAAACACTCGTTGTGAGTAACAAAAAAGATTGTGATTTTATAATGCCTAAAACAACCAGTGCTTCAACTTGGATTAAACCTTATAAAGAGCTGTCTATGGATATGGAAAAAATCTACTGTTCAGTCTCTTGCAAAATTGTAAGTATCTAATATTTTCTATTAAATATCTAATATTTCATACATACAGGGTGTTTCCAAATGACACTTACAACGTTTGACTGTAGATACTTCTCGAAAAATTGAACAAAACGATATAGTTAATGAGGGGTCAAACTTATTTACTTTTCGAGATACAGGGTGTTAAATTAAAAAAAAATAATTTCTTTTGTTAATAACAACAATAACTTTAAAACCAATAAACGTATTTACTTGAAATTTAGTACTCGTAGGTTGTTTTTAAATGAAAAATAGCTTCCTTTAGTAAGAAAAAATTGTCCATGGTACAATACAATGGTGTGTATTTAGAAACATTTTTCACCTTTACCTTTTTTTCTGAAGTCAGCTATTCTAAAACGCAATTATTTTTATTGTAATTGAATTAACAAAAAAAAAACTTTTGTTGAATTTTAAAATAAGTTATATGATGTACTAATGGTTAGTAACAAAAACTAATTTGTGGATTACCTAATACTGCATTTAAAACACTTAGCGAGTGTTTTTTTTTCAAACCAGTTATTTGATTAACTAAAAACACCTTGTATATTTTTATATTTTAAAGGTTGGGTTAAAATAAAGGTTTTTATTTTTATTTATAGATAGCATGTGAGAAGAAATTTCAGATAGACCAACATGTGAGAACTGCTTCACACATTGCAAAAAAAGGAAAAATAGGAGGAAAACATCAAACTATAATGGCTAAATGTTTCCAATGTACTTCAAAGAAATTAGATGAGCAAGAAACTTTTAATGAAGACTTGTGTCGCGCATTAGTGTCTGCAAACATACCGCTTTCAAAATTAGCAAATGTAAATTTTAGTTCGTTTCTAAAAAAATATTGTAAACTTAATGTTCCAAGTGATCGGTCTCTAAGAAGAAATAATGTGAACGGGCTATACTCGTCGGTGTTAATTAATATTAAGGAAGAAATTGCAGATAATTATTTTTACATATCTGTAGACGAAACTACTGATTCCTCAGGAAAGTATATTGCTCATTTATTGATTGGTGTTCTTAAAGAAGATACCTTACCAAAATCTCATCTTATTTCATGCCAGCAACTTGAGAAAACGAATGCTTTAACAATTTCGCGTTTTATACAAGAAACATTAGCAACTTTTTTTCTTCCGACAACTACTCCTTCTAATAAATTACTGCTTATTTTATCGGATGCTGCTCCTTATATGGTGAAAGCAGGACAAAATTTAAAAATATTTTACCCAGATTTAATACATGTTACTTGTGTAGCGCATGGATTAAACAGAGTTGCAGAGGAAATACGAAAAAAGTTTGCTCTTGTAAATACCATGATATCCAGTGTCAAAAAAGTATTTCTTAAATCTCCTATAAGAATTCAACTTTATAAAGAAATGCTACCTAACATTCCTCTTCCACCACAACCTATTTTAACGCGATGGGGAACATGGTTAGAAGCAGCTAATTTTTATGCAGATCATTTTGTTAAAATAAAGAACATAATTGATACGTTAACAGATGAAAGTTCCCAATCTCTTTTGGATTCTAAACAAACTTTTCAGAGTAACTTGCTTCAACAAGAACTTTTATTTATAAAATCAAATTTTAGTTTTGTTCAAAAAACAATTACTCAGTTAGAATCACCATAACTGTCATTGTTCGAAAGTACAGCATTAATAAAAGAATTTGCGTCATGTTGTCGGAACGTTAGAGGTAATATTGGAAAAGATATTTTAAAAAAATTTGAAGCTACTATGGAAAAAAAATAAAGGTTACCATATTCTTTCTGAAGTAGTCAGTGTTCTAGCTGGAAATATTTCGGAAACAATTAATTTAGAACCAAATGTTTTGGTTAGTTTGAAAAATGCTCCCGTTACATCAGTTGATGTTGAACGAAGTTTTTCCATATATAAATATATGTACTCAGACAGAAGCCACAAGTTTTTGTTAGAAAATTTTGAACACCACTTGGTCATTTATTGTTACCATAATTCTAAATAAGTTTATTCATACTTAAAAATGATGTAGTTACTTAAAATAAATGTAAATCTTAATGAATAGTAGGAAATATTTAGTTATGTACACTTTTTTTTTTTTAATAAAATTGTTACTATTTTACGATTTTTTTATTTATTTGTATGCATATTTTGTAAAATATTTGCATATTTTCGGGTAAACACGTGCATATTTATGCGCATATTTTCTACAATTTTATTTGCATATTTACCGAAGTCTACTTATTATATTTCCGGATTTTCGATTTACCGGGTCGCTTCCGGTCTCAGTTAGTCCGGTTAAACGAGGTTGTACTGTACTTTATTTTTTGACAATTAAAAGACAGATATATATTTTTCCAGATATCTCTTACGGAGTAATACTACTTTCATATTGAAGAAACAGAACAAATGTAATGGAGGATTTACTTTAAATTTTGTGGATAGTTTATAGACATTTAATGATTTATTAGTCGGCGTAATTTTTTAAAAAGCTTTAGAATGAAAATGGGACAAGCAGAATTTGCAATGTTCTTCAAAATCAACTAGAGTTTGTTTTACTTTGCGCTATCCAATCCATCACTATTATCCACAGAAGATAGGTATGTTTTGTGTTTATTTGACGAATATGCAGATTTTTTTTGTTTGTATGATACTAATTAGTTTGTAATAAAAACAAATATTCGATTTCTTAAATGACTGATTACAATGTACAAAATTTGAAAGAAATTACATGTAAATTGACAGTTTGTATTCAAATGAGAGAGTGGCCAAATAATAATAATAATATAGTTAATACTTATCGAATCGGAGGTTAAATCAATATCAGTCTTCTTTAAATTACGCTACCTGTTTTTTCTCCATCCAACGAACGGCCTCAACCAGTGTGGAAAACTCGACAAAGGCGAAACCGCGGGAAGCACCTAAACAGCACAATAGATACCAATGGTATTACCCGTCCTCATGAAGTAAAAAAATTGACAAAAAACGGCCTAAGAAAACGGTAAAATTTTATTTATCTTAGTTGATTACCTGTGTCTTTCTTCCTGATGAGCCGGATGTCCTTTGGCATTAGATCACATGCTATTATGTCCTGCCTTATCTAAAAAGTTACAAATGTTTCAACAAAATAACACAATTAAATTATTACAGCATGGTCTTCATACTACAATTTAAATAAATTACAAAATAATAAATACAAATAACAGATGAAAGCATACAGAGCATGAAAATAAAAAACAGATAGTACAATAGAATCTCGATCAGTTGAAAACCTCAAAAACTCGAAAAAAAAAAATGATTTGTTCCCTTCCTTTCAAGTTTCAATTCTCCCTCTATAAATCGAAAAATTAAATTGGATCCATCGAGCAATTGGATCTCTGTATCTCAAACATCGAAATGTTGGATTGTACAACCTTTACAACTCGATTATTTAAAAGTTATTATAATATATTTCATCCAATTTACTTGACGTTGCACGTCATTATAATTGACAGAGATCGAAGTTGACATAGTGGTCAAAGT